GCTTGTCAACACTTGAGTCTTCCCTATTTCAACTGTAAGAAAAGTACCTAAGTCACTGGGTTTTTTGTTTATTTGGTTTTAGGTGTAAAATGGTCTGCTTCATGGGGCTCTTGTGAGCTAAAAGACATTACTCCAACCCAGAGAAGTGACAACTAGCAGGTCTGAATTCAGAATTCAGACCTGAATTCTGGGAGGTGGGGAGCAGCAACTGACAGCTGCACTCACAGAACCTACCACCAGGGGGCAGGTTTGTCCCATCCAAATTCCCACTTATCCAACCACGCATTTGATTTGAGCATGATTCTTTTTATTTCAGAAACTTTTAAATTAATACAAAAAAAAGTTCAGGGCTGGGGATACAGCTCAGCTGGTAGAGGGCTTGGGCTACATTCACGAGGCCCGAGGTTACATCCACAGCCCCATGAACCCCCTATGAACCCCGGTGTGGTATCCCATACCTATAACCCTGCTACTGTGGGAGAATGAGGACCTAAAACTCTAAGCCAGAATGGAGTTCAAAACAAATTCAAGCTCAGCCTGGACTAAATGAAACCCTTTGTTTAAAAACTAATTCCCCAAATCTTACCACAGACATCAATGGGGGAGGGGTGTCTTCTGAGACAGGGCTTCATGTAGCCCAGGCTGGTTCTACAGCCCCTTTCTTGCTGTTGAAGTCTCATCCCATGTCATCTCAAGATGACCTTGAATTATGTTCTTCCTCCTGCCTCAGCCTCCTTAGTCCAGGCTCCCCTTTTGTCTCAGTATAGGAACGCCCTGGAAGACCAGGGAGCTTGTCCACTAGGACAGTCCTTACTTTGGGTGGCTACTGTGGTCTTTGTCTACCCTCTATAGATCTGTCAAACAGACATCGGAACTAGGCTCAGACTCCTTTTCTTGACAGAAATATTTCCTAGAGATGCTGTGTCACCCCCTGGGTGTAAGTTTGGTCAGTCGGCTCAGGTTGTTTGCTTAAATTTTATGTTCACAACAACTTTCCACACTGCTGGTTTTTGTTTTGTTTTTTTTAAGATTCGTTCATTGTATTTATATGAGTACACTGTCACTCTCTTCAGATCCCATTACCATGTGGTTGCTGGGATTTGAACTCAGGACCTCTAGAAGAGCAGTCAGTGCTCTTAACCTCTGAGCCATCTCTCCAGCCCACCACTCCCTTTTTGTTTTTTCGAGACAGGGTTTCTCTGTATATAGCCCTGGCTGTCCTGGAACTCACTCTGCAGACCAGGCTGGCCTCGAACTCAGAAATCCGCCTGCCTCTGCCTCTGCCTCCCAAGTGCTGGGATTAAAGGCGTGCGCCACCACCGCCCGGCTCCAGCCCCCTTATTAATCACAGCTTTATTACTGTTCTCTGGTCCACCGTTTCTCCAGGCCTTGAAAGGCTCTACCTTTCTAATCTTATTATTTCTTGTCCACCTATTAGTTGGAATTCTATAGAAGGTAACTTTATAAAGTCTACTATTTGGTTATCTGAGATATAAAACACAAATGACCAGAAAACTGTTATGGTGATTTGAATACGATTGGCCCATGGGAAGTAGCACTATTGGGACGTGTGGCCTTGTTGGAAGAAGTGTGTTACTGTGTAGGGCTTTGAGGTACCCTAGTCCTCAAGCTCTGCCCGGTGCAGAAGTCTCCTCCTGCCTGCCTGTGAATCACCGTGGTGTGTCCTGCATGATGATAATGGACCTCCAAAACTGCAAACCAGCCCCAACTACATGTTCACCTTTCTAAGAGCTGCCTTGCTCATGGCATTTCCTCACAGCAATGACCCTAAGACAAATGTTTTTCTTCTCCTCCCCCTCTTCTCCTTTTTTTTTTTTTTTTCTTTTGAGACAAAGTCTCACTAGTAGCCCTGGTTATCCTGGAATTTACTATGTAGACTAGGCTGGCCTCAAACTCAAGAGATTCACCTGCTTCTGCCTCTTGAATGCCGGGATTAAATGTATACCATCATCTTTAGCAATGTCAATTTCTTTATGCTAGAGGTAACAGATATATTTTCCTTAGACATAATTATGAATATTATTATAGCCATGCTAATATCATATATACATTATAAATTAAAAGGATTTTATATACTGTTAAACTATCCTAAAATGTGTTGTGTGTGCATGTGAATACACTCACATGATGGACCTCAGGCGTCTAAACAGGCTGCCCCACTGAACTGGAATGTCACCAGCTCAGCCATGAACAATTTCATCCACATCTTCCCCTTCCTATGAGCACAGACAACACTTGCAGAAGCTTTCATTCTTCCAGTGTTTATCTTTTGTTTTGTGTTCACTCTGTAGCTCTGGCTGGCCTTGAACTCAGAGATCTACCTGCTGCTTCCCAAGTGCTTGGGTTAAAGGCATATGCCACCAAGCCAGCTCCACCGCTGCCCGGCCGCAAGGCAACTCTTACAAAGGTAAACATTGAACTGGGGTTGGCTTACAGGTTCAGAGGTTATCATAGCAGGAAGCATGGCAGCATCCAGGTAGATATGGTGATGGAGGAGCAGCTGAGAGTTCTGCATCCTGATTTGAAGGCACCCAGGAGAGACTGGCATCCTCAAGCAGATAGTTAGAAGGACGATCTCTTCTGAAATGGGTAGAGGCTGAGCATAGAAGACATCCAAAGCCTACTCCCATAGTGACACACTTCCTCCAACAAGGCCACACCTGCAATAGTATCACTCCCTAAGGAGCACAGAAAATTCAAACCACCACAGCCCCCAAAGGTGAGAACGAACTCCACTAAGTTGTACTGATTTCCATACATACATCAAACAAACACAGATCCATACTTTTTATGTTTAAGGTTGCTCAGGTGAGGTAGTACATTTAATCTCAGTACTCAAGAGGCAGAGGCAGGTGGATCTCTGTGAGTTCAAGGCTAGCTTGGTCTACAGAATAAGTTTCAGGCCAGCCAGGGCTATTTAGTGAGACCCTGCCTCAGAGGCAAAAGAACTATAGAATGCAGAGTAATTCTTCCCATATTGGATTGATAGGCTTTAAAAAGTTTAAAATATAAGCTACTAATTTTGCTAGTCACATAGAAGACGGCACACTATAAAACACTAGTCTCCTCATTAGCTTCAGCCGTCAAGCTGACAGCCCAGCTATTTGAGGAAGTATCAGGTAGGGGATTACCTCTATCAGACTGGCCTGTGAGCGTATCTGTGAGGGGGTTTATTGATTGCCCAATGTGGGCAGCGCTATTGCTAGGCAGGCCGGCCCAGGCTGTTTAGAAGGGTAGCTGAGCCATGACCCTGGAGCAAGCCAGTAAGTAGCCTTCCCCCACAGTTCCTTCCCCAGTTCCCTTCCTGACTTCCTTCAGTGATGGATGAATTCCCTGGAGGTTTAAGTCAAACAAACCTTTTCCTCCCCTGGGGTATTTTTGGTCAGTGATTTTTCTTTTTAATCACAGCAACAGGAAAGCAGCTAGAACAGGTACGTCCCTTGAAGTTCCTGTGACATTTGATGACCACAATGAACAAAAAGGCTACTCTCGTGAAGAGATCTCTTCCTATTCCATCCTTGTTTAACACCGGTAGCCGGCTGTCTATAGAGCCTTTCTATTTCCCCCTACTTTCCAGGGCAGGAAACAAGTCTTGACTGACATCAGTATTCCCAGCAAACTGGTGAACATCAACACCAGCATGGCCCTCAGGACAAACTCTGAACAGATTACTGGATTTTTATTAGGAGAGAGGCTGGAGGTTGTTACACCAGGGCGGGAGTGGGTATTCTAGAAAGATACCTTTTGGTCAAATGTGGCAGGCATTGGCTTTCTCTCCTATGAAAGCAGGATCAGTAGTAAAGTCTTTACTTTTGGAATATGGTTCAGGTTATATAAAAAGTTGCCCGGATCCCAGATATCCGTCCCATAAACAGAAGACTAAGGAAGATGATACTGGAGGCGCTGAGATGCTTATGTGCCTTACCGGGCAATGAGAGCAGGGTCAACCTTATTAACAAGCAGTATGTGCAGAATAATAAAGAAAAGAATGGGCGTTTCTGGCAGATGCTTACTGAATCTGTGTAACTAACGACGGGCCGGCCAGTTGGTCCTGGTCTCGGAGTGACTGCACCCTGATGGTAGATCTCAGGGCAACTCAGGGATATGATTGACAGATGTTGGGGGTATTTGAAAGGCTTCGGGCCCGTAGAACCCCGGGGGAATGGAGTTCTAGCCGTCAATCCTAGTCCTCGGCAACCAGTTTTGTGTCTGTGCACCCGCCTACGTGGGTTCCCAACTCGGGTTCAGGACAGCTAGGAGAGGTGCCGCAGCCAGGTAGGCCGCACCCTCTCTCTCACCTAGCAGAACGCCCCGATCTTCGCGGCTGGGAACAATGAGGTTCCGGCTTCTTTAAGGGAGATACCACCGCGCCGGTGGGGCAGGGGACCGCATCCTCCCAGATGATCGCACCCAGCCCCGCGTCGATGCCTGGGCCACTGTGCCGCCCGCAGACACGGCTCCGTGACTCGGATCGAAGGTGCAGCCAGCTTGCCAACACTGGCCGTGCCTCCCCACGGGCCTGCCGCCCAGCCCCGCCACCGGCGAGGAAGATGCGCCGAGCATCCGGCCCTAGCGAACCGCGCGCTCCGGCCCACCGCTCGGTAGGTCTGAAGACGGCGGGCAGAATGGCCCGCAATGGGGCACGTGCGCTGCCGGCTCGGGCCAGCGGCCGTAGCTTACCCGGAGTCCCGGGAGGCGCCCCCGCTGCGGCTGAGGGCGACCATCCCCTGCTGCCACCCCTGCGGGCCAGGGCAGCAGTGGTCGGCTCTGCAGCGCGCACACCGCTGACGACGCTCGACTGTGTGCAGCGTTAGGGCAGCGAAGAAGCGCAATGGCCGGAGCACACGGGGAGAGGCGCTCGCCCAGCAGGCGGCGCTCGGCTGCGCACGCGCGCTACGGAAAGCCGGAGGGGGCGGGGCCCGGCGTGAGGGGGTGTGTCCGCGCACCACGGGGGCGCGCGCCGGCTTCTGACTGGAGGCCGCGGCAGCCGAGGCGCGAGCTGCCCGATAATGGCGGCCTGCAGAGCTCATGAGAGGGAGAAGCGGCGGCGGCTGCCCTGAGGTAAACCTGGCCCTTCGTCGTGGCATGGATGCCCTGCAGTCAGAACCGACCTCCCTGCATGTGTCTCTGTCCCCAGCAGGCCTGTCACAGAGCTCTCAGCGGAGTCATCCTGGGAAAGGCCCGGTGCTGCCCCGGCCACCGGCCGGGACTGCGGCCTCCGTTCCCGCCAGGGCCACTCCCGGGGACCGGCCCCTAGTCCGCAGCCGCGAGGAGTTGAAGCGACCGCGAGGCCTGCTGAAGGGCCACGGGAGGGTCCCTCGGGGTTTCAAGGGACGGCCACCTGGAGTGATCCTGCTGCTTGGGCAGCGAGCGCGGCCTGAGCCTCCGCGTCTGAGCGCCTCTGGCCTGACTTGTCCCTTCCCGGGCACCGGCAGGTGCATGTCCACGCCGGCGGTGCCTAGCACCGGAGGGAGAATGGCAGGCAGGAGGGTCCAGGACCTGCCTTCCTGAGGCACCCGGGTTCTCAAAGGATGCTTCAGCAGGGCGTCTCGCCAGCCAGGACCCCACTGATTTGATAGACACCGTCCTTTCTTATTCAGGAAGGTGTCCTTCTCTCAGGGGGACTGCTGCAGAGTCACTTGGAAGCGCACAGTAACTGGGACTCGGCACAGAGCAGGACGGCGTGTCCGCCTGTGACAGGAAATCTGACATTAGGAAATCCAGTAAGAACTTGAAGAGTAGGTGACCAATTCAAGGAAGTAACCCTCAAGGCAAACATCAGAAGCAGTCATTTTCTTTTAAATCTGGCCTATGAACTTAAAGTAGTTGTTCTGGGAGTCTCAGGTTCCCCGGTCAGTTACTTTGTTTCCCTGGTTGTGCAATGTAAATACAATCTTACTCTTCCTGCCAGCGATGACAGTGGGCGTGTGAGCACACTGCAGACTCTCCACTCAAAAGCACATTTCTCTGTGGGGCCTGTGCTTCAGTTTGCCTTTAAATGATTTATCAGTTCAGAGCGCCAAAGAGCTTTGTCAGAGAATTCCCTTTGATGTATAAGATGCTCCCCCTTTGGCAAGAAAAGACTTATGTTTAAATAGCTATGTTAAATAACTATAAAAAGGTAGTTTTATTCTAATTGACTTACTTCATTTTGAGAGAATAGTTCCTCAAAAACTTTATCTGTGCTTATTTTGTAAGAGATAAATAAGCAAGCATACTGGTGCAGGTCTGTAACCTCAATTCTTGGAAGGTAGAAGCAGGAGATGAGGGTCATCCTTTGCTATGTAATAAGTTTAAGGCTAGCCTGAGCTACCTGACACACTGTTGCAAACAAAACATAAGTGATCTTGTCCACTTTTAGTCTATAAACAGAAGTCAAGTGTCTGTATTTTTAAGTGTGAGGGATTTTTCTGTTTCACTGTTTTTGTTTGTTTGTTTGTTTTCTTCTCAAGACAGGGTCTCTGTGTAGCCCTGGCTGTCCTGGAACTCCCTCTGTAGACCAGGCTGGCCTTGAACTCAGAGATCCTATGCCTTTGCCTCCCACATGCTGAAATTAAAGGTGTGACCCACTACTTCTTGACAAAACTTCAAATTTCGGTTTACTTTTAACAATGACATTTTCAAGCAGTTAAGGATTAGATGAACTTAATACATAGCAGCCAGGTTTGACTACTTCACACACTTGTAATGCCACCATTCCAGCTCCAGAGACCAAGGTCGCCAGGGCTGTTAAGATGGCTCAATGGGTAAAGTTATTTTCTGCCAAGCCTTACAACATGAGTTCAATTTCTGGAACCACATGGTAGAAGGAAAGAACTGACTTCCCACATATTGACCTCTGACTTACACAAAGCTATAGTCATACACACAAAATATATAATAAAGTCTTAAAGAAGTGAAAGCCATTTTGAGATACATAATCACAAGAGCCTGTCTTTTTTTAAAAAAGGACTGGAGGCAAGGTATGGTGACACAAATCTTTAATCCCAGTACTAGGGAAGCAGAGGCAGGCTTATCTCTGAGTTGGAAGCCAGCCAGGGTTTCATAGTGAGGTCTTGTTCAAAAAAGGAGTGGGTGGGCAGAGCCTGTAAAGAGAGAAAGTTCAGTGGGTAAAACATTTGCTGAATAAGTCTGGGGACCTGAGTTTGGATCCCTAGGACCCATGTGAAGCCGGATGTGCCTTCCTATGGTGAGATGAGCTGCAGAGACAGGAGCATCTCCAGGGCTCACAGGCAGCTACCCTGGCATATTCTGTAGGGGTGACAGGAGAGCCAAGATTCTCTCCCAATAGGTGCACCTGGCATGGGCAAGCCTGCACTCACACACACACGTCAGGGATGATGGTACTGTAACTATGCCTTCTAAGGCCAGCATAATCTATATATCAAGCTCCAAGCCAAGGAAACTTAGCAAGACCCTGTCTCAAAGACAATAAAACTTTAAAAATTGTTATAAAGTACTTGAATAGTTCATGATACATGGTAAATGCTAATATCTTTTTTTGTTATTAGTGATAGATTGCTTCAAAGCATAGCTAGATACCCTTCAAGTACTACAGACAGCAAAACAGATGGGTAAATCATGCATAAGAATATAAGCCAGTAGGTCCACCTAATTTCAACAGAGCACTTTGTTGATTTTTCCAGAAACCTCGACCTTGAAGATGGTGAGTAGCCAGCCAAAGTACGATCTAATACGGGAGGTAGGCCGAGGCAGTTACGGTGTGGTGTATGAAGCGGTCATCAGAAAGACCTCTGCGAGAGTAGCTGTGAAGAAAATCCGATGCCACGCACCTGAGAATGTTGAACTGGCCCTTCGAGAGTTCTGGGCACTAAGCAGTATCAAGAGCCAGCACCCGAATGTGATTCACTTGGAAGAGTGCATCCTACAGAAAGATGGGATGGTGCAGAAGATGTCCCACGGCTCGAATTCTTCCCTTTATTTACAGGTATGTGACACTGCCTAGGAAATGGCCTTAACATTGGTCAGCAAGGGGAACCCAAAGTCTCAGGTGAACTTCTCCCTGAGACGAAGGTGTTCTGTGGCTAGGTGTACAGAGAGGTCTGTAGAGGAAGGAAGTGTCTGCTCTAAATTTGTGCTGCACATACCTCAAAATAACACAAGCCGCTGCTGTGCCTGGTACTTAACCAGTCTGCATAGCAACAGAATGAGATGGGAACTAGAGGAGGTTTGAGACTAGCATCTAAAGTCAGTTCCTGGGAACCAATTATTTTGAAAATGAATGCAAAAAAACAAGGAAAAAATAGCAATCAGTAATAGCCACACCCATGGTAACTGGACTGCCCCAATCACAGGGCTAAACACAGTAAGCCTTAGATGAGTAAACTGCTGCATGCTGATGGTCCTAGGACGCAGAAGGTGGAGGCAGGGGCTTGCGAGTTCAAGACCAGACTCACCTGTATATTGACTTTAAAACATTCCTAGACTGAATCCTGAGCTCCAGGACAGAAGGAGGTCTTCTGACCGCCACACTTGCACTGTGGCATGAATGCATGTAAGTGTTCACACACACACACACACACACACACACACACACACACACACAAAATAAGTGAATATAATTTAACAATTAAAACAAACTATAGTAACAACAAAAACCCTGTTTAGGTTGGTGAGCAGGCTCAAAGGGTAAAGGAGTTGTTGACAAGCCCAATGACCAAGTTCAGTTCTCAGGTCCCTCATGGTAGAAAGAGGACTGGACTCCTGAGAAGTTTCTCATACCTCCATGAGTTCCCCACACACAAAACAAAACAAATAAATAATTTTTAAAAATTTAAAAACTGTAGTGTTTACTTTTCTAAAAGTACTTAAGTTGCCATGATAAAAATATTGGGAACATTTCTGTCTTCTTTCCTCTTTTTGCCAGTGTTAGAGATTGAGCCTTGGGTTTGGGGCATACTACATAAACTACGTTCCCTCCTAAACCTGTCACCTTTGCATTAAGGTTTACAGAGTAAGATACACAATCCCTTCGGATGGAAAAGTAAAGATACTAACACATTTGACGTTACGCTAAGTCCAGACCTAGTAGCAAATTAATAAGGATTGTGTTTTATTTAGTCCTTTAGGGTTTTAAGATGTGAAGTACCAGACTAAAGTGATTTTTGTACTTAAGTTGCCTTTTTAGTGAATCAATTTTCCTTTTAAAGCCTTGCAGACGTGTGTTTGATTTATGGCCCTTTCTGCTGTCTGAATGACTTAAATAATCCAGATTTCTGCTGGGCAGTGGTGGCGCAAGCCTTTAATCCCAGCACTTGGGAGGCAGAGGCAGGCAGATTTCTGAGTTCGAGGCCAGCCTGGTCTACAGAGTGAGTTCCAGAACAGCCAGGGCTACACAGAGAAACCCTGTCTCCAAAAACCAAAGAAACAAAACAAAAACCAAAACAAACAAAAAACAAAAAGAAACACACACAGATGAAATAAAATATTCTTGAGGTTTTCAGTTAAAGCTGGAGACTGGAGTTTGACTCACAGTCCAGAGCAGGGCAGAGCAGAGCAGAGTAGGGCAGAGCAGGGCAGGGCAGAGCAGGGCAGAGCCAGGCTTCCTAACCCTTCCACTCAAGCCCTCACACCAGAAAAACATGTGCCTAACCCTGGATGTGTTAAACATCTACAGAGCAGACATACTGATAATGAATCATAAATAATTTCATTTTAAAGCAATCCTTCGGTATAAATAAAAGTTTACCTTTTCTTAAAGTAGAAAGCAAACTATACACTAATGAAGTGAATGTACCTGTTTATTTCTACATAGAGGGAAATCTTGGGCTGACAAGATGGCGCTGTGGGCAGAGGTACTCTCATGCAGACCTGACAACCTGCCTTCCATCCTCAGGTCCCACAAGGTGGCAGGAGAGAACCTGCTTCTCAGAGTTATCCTCTGACACATGTGCAATGATCCCTGTGTGCACACACAAGAGAATTCGGATTGGATATTTATTACTTTAGGACATAGAACATCTTTAGCAGTTTCCACAGTAGATGATTTGTGTTTTGTAAAAACAGTGGTGAGAACAGTGCTTCGTATATTAGTGGTAGACATGCTTAAGGGAGATTCAGAAACTGTGGAAATTCTGTCCTAACAGCTTCCAGCGAGCCTCTTGCCTCTGCTTCTGTAGCACTGGGATCACAGGTGTGTGCCATCACACCTGCCTTCAAATAGCAATTTTTAGCCTCTGTCTTTCTCTCTCCCTGAGACAGTCTCATTATGTAACTCAGGCTGGCCTTAAATTAGAGATCACTTGAGCTAGGTGTTGTGACACACACATGTAATTCCAGCACTGAAGATGAAGCAGGAGGGTCAGAGTTCAAGGCCAGCCATGAACTATACAATGAGTTTGAGGCCTTTGTGGACTACTTGAGACCCTATCTCAAAAAAAAAACAAAAAGAAGAAGAAAGAAAAAAATGGTACCCAAATTAAGCGTTATACCATAGCACAATCCACTGATAAACTACTTTTTTTTTATTTGCTTAGTGATGAATGACAGTAGGAAATATGAGAAGTCTGTTTTCCCCAGTTAAACCATTATGTTGCTATAAGAGCAGAGCACTTGGTATATGTACTAAAAATACAGTTTGGGTTTGAGTTAACTTTTGGCAGCTAAACATTCACTAACCCTTGACTTATTGCCAATTTTTTTGTGACCTCTACATTCAGTTTAAGAAAAGGTTGCCTGCCATGTATGTACAAGACCCTGGGTTTAGTTCCCAACGCTTCAGAAACAAAAGAAAGCTGCAGATTGACCTAACTTTCTTCCTTCTTTCTTTTTAGTATATTTTTAAAAGATTTATAGCTAGTAGTGGTGCAGGCCTTAAATCCCAGCACTTGGGAGGCAGAGGAAGGTGGATCTCTGAGTTCAAGGCCAGCCTGGTCTTCAGAGCAAGCTCCAGGACAGCCAGAGCTACCCTGTCTAAAGCCCTGTCTCAAAAAAACAATAAAAAAACAAGAACAAATAAAAAAACTTACTAATTTTTTGTTATGTTGGCTGGGGGGGGTAATGTGGGTATATGTGTGTCAGTGCAGGCGCCCTTAGAAGCCAGGACACTGGAGCTATAGTTGCAGGCAGTTGTGAGCCACTAATGTGGTTACTGAGGACCTGAACTGCAGTCCTCTGTGAGAGCTGTATCCCCATCCCCTTAAACCTTTCTGTATCTTATAACTCCTCCCCTTCTCATCCCTCACAGCTTGTAGAGACTTCACTAAAAGGAGAGATTGCCTTTGACCCCAGAAGCGCCTATTACTTGTGGTTTGTGATGGATTTTTGTGACGGAGGAGATATGAATGAGTATCTGTTGTCTAGGAAACCCAATCGAAAGACTAACACCAGCTTCATGCTTCAGCTCAGCAGTGCTCTGGCCTTCTTGCACAAAAACCAGATAATCCACCGAGACCTGAAGCCTGATAACATCCTGATTTCTCAGAGCAGGTTGGATACCAGTGACTTGGAACCCACATTGAAAGTGGCCGATTTTGGCCTGAGTAAAGTTTGCTCAGCATCTGGGCAGAACCCGGAAGAACCTGTCAGTGTAAACAAGTGTTTCCTTTCCACAGCATGTGGAACGGATTTCTACATGGCTCCCGAAGTATGGGAAGGACACTACACAGCAAAAGCTGACATTTTTGCTCTGGGAATTATCATCTGGGCAATGCTGGAGAGGATCACCTTCATTGACACAGAGACAAAGAAGGAGCTCTTGGGGAGTTATGTAAAGCAGGGGACCGAAATTGTGCCTGTTGGGGAGGCACTTCTGGAAAACCCCAAAATGGAACTTCTCATCCCTGTGAAGAAAAAGTCGATGAATGGCCGAATGAAACAACTGATAAAGGAAATGCTGGCCGCAAACCCTCAGGATCGCCCGGATGCTTTTGAACTAGAACTCAGATTAGTCCAAATTGCATTTAAAGACAGCAGCTGGGAAACGTGACCTCCTGCTTGCAAGCATCTTAGATGGTGCTGCTTCAGATTCAGTGGAAATACATTACATGGCTGAAAAGAAGACGGAAGTTAGACTCCACTTTCTAAGAGTTTAGGTTTTATTGTGGGGTAGTTTTTTCCTCTTGTTTTTCCTGATTCATGCAGGCCATTTTATTGTATGTTTTGAATGTGTATTACCAATGTGGCTATAAAAAATTTTTTTTAATGATCATTGGTAAAAGGTTGGCAGAAAAAATTCTCTTATGAGCCAAGCAGAGAAGAAAGTCCCATTTTCTAGAAATATCTTTAAGTATTTTGGACATTCCTTGTCAGTATTAGGCATTTCCGTGGAAAAGAGGATTGCGTGCTGGTAACGCAACCTTTGAAGCTTTGTAAAGGAAACATGTATGTATATATTTATGTGTATGTAAGTATGCATTCCACATGAAGAAAAGGCCACTTCTGTTTAAATTATTTGATACAGGTTTGGGTTTTTGAGATTTGCTGATGAAATTGGTGATGGAAACCACACAAACCACCCCTCGTCTTCATCCCTGCCCCTCCTGCTACTGGAAACATGCTAAGGGTGTATTTTTGTTGTTGTTGTTGTTTTGTTTTGTTTTTTCCCAGTATACATCTCTTTTTAAAGGCATCATTTTGGAGGGTCTAAATGGCTGATTCAACATAAGTGAAGCTAAGCAGTTGTCAGCCGCTGGAGCGTGTCTGAGTCTCCAGAGCCCTGTGGCTCCCGTGCATTAGTCATTGAGTCTCACGATAGAAGGTCGGCAAGGGTGCCTATGGCTCACTCATACCTTCAGGTAACTGAGCATTTGTTTAATTAAACCACTGCACTGGGACGCTCGGGTGCTCGAGCATCTACTGTAACCTGAGGATGATATTCTGTGCTGAAAACATTGCATTGCACAACTGTAATACTTGATTATTAATTTTGAATTTTAAGACTTTTTCTAAATCTCAGCATAAAGTCGAAGAAGCCAAACAAGCTCACCCGGGTCGCTGGCCCTGGGGTGGCTTCCTGTTGGATCACTGGAGTCGCTGTCACCGTGACGCTGACACTGTGTTCTCTTGTCTCATGTGATACAGTAATGGAACTGGTAATCACTGTCACAAATACTGGTTGCTCTCTTCCAAAGTGAGAGACGGTGCATACAGAGTTTGGCAAATTGAAATTGATAAGATTCTATGCCATCAACTGCTTTTCCAGTAGAAAAGTTGTGGGTTTCACATGGTCACCTGACATCTGTCAGAAAGCAAGAGACTCAACTCGTGAGGGGAAATTCTAACTGCATGGTTGCCTCCAGATTGTTCTTGCTAATTCAGGAACATTAAGGAAAGGATTCTTTCTTAAACCAGAACACCAGTCTTTAGGATGAATTAGATTCTACCATTGTATTAGGTGAGGCTTTATAAAGCACTACCTGCCCACCTCCGGTGCTGGGGTAGAACCTGGGGCCTTAAGTGTGTGAGGGAAGCAGTCCACCACCGACTGCATGGGGATCTTTTTAAGCACTAAGATACAAAAGGCAAAATAATATCAGTATATTGTTGTTCTGAGCAGTTCTCATCATCTCCTCAGTGCTTGAACCTCCACACCGTCACTGTAGGTCTGGCTGTAGTTCAGTGGAGAGCTCTTGCCTGCCATGTACAAGGCTCTGTATTCAATCCCTGCCATCACAAAATCAACAAATCAATAAACGTGTTCAGAAGGTGATAAAAGATAAAACACAAAAAATGGAATATATAAACTGTCTAGACTGAATTAATCTGGAAGTATAAATATATGAACTGAAAGCTTTAGTAAAAAATCTTATCAAATGGAAAAAAGAAGTCACATATACTTAATATCACTTGCAGACTTAACTAAAAATTCGTTCAGAAATAAGAGGTAGAAGTGTACTGGATCTTCATGGTAATTGACCCACTGGGTCACCAAGTTGACACAGATGTAACCATGGATTGAGTTACAGGAAATTAGAAAAATTCCCATTATAATGGATTACCAATGACTTGGCCCTCATCAGATTGATATGTGATGTGTGCCAACAGTTCTTTGCTCTACAAATACCTGTGCACTTGAAGCCTTGGTGTCCTGAGCACATAGCTTTTGATCCTGCCTCCTTGAAAATAATGAATAATTTGGTTTGTCTTTTGTGTTAGTTGGTGCTGGGATCAAACCCAGGGCCTTCCATGTGCTACACAAAGGTGTTAGCACTGAGCTAAATGTCTAGCCCTAGTTATAATTTATTTTGTTTGAAAGATTTCTACCTGTGAAATAGAATTTTTTTCCTTTATTAGAGGTAAGGGTGTGAGGTGATCAGGAACTTTCTTCCAGAACATTATTAAGTCCTTGTATTCTGAAATAGCGTATGATATCAACAAAAGGACAGTAATTTGTCTTTGTTCTTTCAGTCAAGGGTATTTATTAAGTACCTACTGTGTGCTCAGCACTTAAGTTTAGTTGATACAACAACCATTTACGATTTGCAGTTGTAAGGGCTGGAGAGAGGACTCAGCCATTAAGAGGACTTGATGCTCTTGCACAGAACCGGAGTTCAGTTCCCAGCACCCAGGTTGAGTGGCTCACAACCACCTAACTCCAGCTTCTGGGAATCTAATACCCACTTCAAAGAATAAAGACAAACCATTTTTTTAAAATGGCTTTTAGCCATGCACTTTCTTCAGACACATATAAGAAATAAAATATGATACTTGGGAATTTTTGGATATTTGCTAAAGGAAAAATGCAATCAAGAAATTGTGCACAGTGCCTTGCCCATAATAGGTACTCAATAAACAGTTATCTCTCATAGTCTGTTGCCATGGTTTCTAGTGTTTTATGAAATTTGTCTTAATTGAAAAGAAAAAGACCAAATATTTCAAACAAAGCTTATAGGCAGCTGTGTCCAGTCACTGTAGGGTTGTACAGTTAGTTCCTAGGCTGTTAATTTGCACCTGTTGTCACTTAGAAACATGGGGTTCTGTAGATTCTTGGTGCTAAGGGATACTTTGTCATTCTGATAAAGCAAGTGTTAAGTGTCAGATAAATAGCACAGAATAGTTCTTTCTGCAGGTCTAGGTTTTTGTTTTTAATTGTAAAATGTTACCAATCAAACTATTGTAGCAGCTACAAAATAATTCACCAGCATGACAAAATAGTCAAAAAAACAAAAAAGATGTCATCAGCACATCAGAAAAGAAGGCAACTTTAAAACTTTTCTTTTAAAATTGTCAAATATATTTTATGAAGAATTTATAAAGGGGGAAAGTATTGTAATTTATTGTTCATGAGGTTTTTTTTTTAAATAAAGTGAATTTCAACAAAAAAAATCTTGAAAGTTCTCTTGCTACTTTAAGTTGTACAGTTTGCTAAGTCATGAGTGCAAAGTGACCTACATCCTGGAAAAGGATTTAAGCTTATGGAGTAAACCATGCTCTCCTAGAAACCATTGCCGGGTATGGTGATTGGATTACAAGACTGGAGAATTTCAAGTTCTCTCAAACCGTAATGCTATCTGGCTATTTTTGCTTTGTATGAGAAGTATGTATTGTTTAAGATTCTTGTTTTAAGACTGATATTTTCTGTGTATGAATGTTTTACCTGCATATGTCTATGCACTGTGATCACGCAGTGCCCTAGGAGGCCGGATAAGGTAAAGTATCAGACCCCTGGACCTGGAGTTCCACGTGAACCTCCATGTAAGTGCTGGGACTTGAACCCAAGGTCCTCCAAGAGCGATCCAAGGGGTCTTAACCACTGACCCATCTCTCTGACCCACAGATCTCCCCCCCCCCATCCCTTATCCTTTTAAATGTACTAAGTGGATGCAACTTCAATTGATAACACGAGGCAATGACCTCTAAAGAAGTCAGGTTTGGCTGAGAATGATGGCCCACACCTTTGATTCCTGCACTTGGGAGAACTGGCCAGGCAGCTGACTTCGAGTTTTGAGCCGACCAGGTCTACATATTGAGTTCTAGGCCAGGACTACATAGTGAAACCTCAGGGTAAGAAATTGTCATTACCAGCCCATTTTCTTTTGTAAAATGTGTGGTTGCCTCAGCATACAACCTCCTGAGTAGCCAGTGGAGCAGCCGAGGGACAGGAAATAAGTCCCTAGCCTGCCTCCTAGAGCAACTAAAGCCTCCGAACACCGACTTTGCATCTGCTTAGAGGTTATCTTTTTTGTTGTTGTTGTTTTTGTTTTTTTTCGAGACAGGGCTTCTCTGTGTAGCCCTGGCTGTCCTGGAACTCACTCTGTAGACCAGGCTGCCCTCGAACTCTCGAACTCAGAGATCTGCCTGCCTCTGCCTCCCAAGTGCTGGGGTTAAAGGTGTGCGCCACCACTGCCCGGCAGAGGTTATCTTTTTAAATTCAATTTCCATCCCTCGGAGAGGCAGGCACGTCTCTGAGGCCAGCCTGGTCTACAGAGTGAGTTTCAGGACAGCCAGGGCTACACAGAAACCTTGTCTCAGAATGAGAGGAAAATTAGAATTCAATTTCAAAACTGTAACTTTACAGTCATCAACACTTTTACAGTTTACAAAGCACCGCCGTATGGTGTTCATTCTTTCATATCTTTTACTTGAAGCAGGAGCTGACTCCTGGTGAAGAACTGAAGGTAGAAACAGCAGGTGATCCAGGTCTCACTCCGGACGGCGATACCGCCTAATCTCTGCATCCAGCTGGCGTTTCTCTCACTGCAAAGCCTTATCTCTCCAGCGGAAGGAACCAGCCTTATGAAGGCGTCCCTTTAAATTCAAATGTTGCTGTCTTGATCAGCCAATCATAGGCGTCCTCCAGAGTGCTCCGAAATGAAGGTTTGTGGGTAGAAAGTAACTCCGACCTGAGAAAACCCACAGAGGCCACACCTCTAGGAGGCGAACGGCGTCTTTTAAAGGTTGTACTTCCACCTAGGCAGAGACTTTCCATTGGTTAGAAGTGAATTGCTTTAAAAAAAAAAAAAAAAAAAGAAGAAGAAGGAAGGAAACAAAAGCCCTGGGCTTTGGAACTTTGTTCTGTTCAACCTAGTATTTCCAGCTTAGCTTGCTTTGGGCTGATGTTAAGCAAGTTAGTATTACTGACGCTGGTGTGTGGTCTAGCACCCGAAAGATCCGGTACGGAAAAGTAACTTGCAAATAGCCACGTAAGTAAAGTATGTCCTTGGGTAAGTGGCTTCATTTTGAGCCTCAGTTCCCAAAGCTGCCAAATGAACATGATATTCACATCTCGTTGTATGTTGAGTTCATCAGTGGTCTTTCCTTATGTATTTTAGGTTTCTAGGAGAGCTGAGTGCTGGTCAGCCAGGGCCACAGAGAGTGAGCCTTTCTCACAAAACGCGAACAACAACATCAACAAAACCCACTACCAGGAATTTCCATGTGAGGAGGAAGGAAGGAATCACCGAGCCAGTCTTCAGATATAGCTTTGATTGTCCCCCACCTTGGCAGAATCT